TGCCTCTTCTGATAATGACACCAGGTCATTGGATTAGAGCCCACCCAAGATGACCTCATCATAACTTGTTTATATCTGCAAAGACCCTACTTCCAAATGAGGTCACATTCACAGGTGTTTGTGAGGTGGCAGTGGAGGGGAGGGTGTTAGGACTTGAACAAATCTTTTTGGGGACACAATAAAACCTACAACATCAGGCAGTAAATTCCCTCTAAGCTTATCCACTTTGGTTTGGGTTTTTGATCTTCTGTATCAAGAAAGAAGCAGGGTCAAGATGTACCCCGACGTCTCTTATTACCTTCAGAGTCTAAGTCAACAACTGAAACTCAAAGCTGGGTCTTTACCTTAATTAACCACAGAGCTCGTCTACACCTACTCAACGTCTCCTTTCCAAATATCAATGGTTAGGCCAGACACAGTGGCTCATGCCTGTAATCCCAGCACTTTGGGAGGCTGAGGCAGGAGGATTCCTTGAGGCCAGGAGCTCAAGATCTGCCATGAAAACTCCATCTCTAAAAAAAAAACTGGCTATGCTCAGCCAATTGGCTGAGCATAGTATTATGTGCCTGTAATCCCAGCTACTCAGTAGGCTGAAGCAGGAGTATTTGTATTTAAATTCTAGGGGACTTATGAAATACTAAGACTAAGGCTAAGTCTTGGCTGGGATGCTGGGGTGAGCTGTTTTGCCTACCCACACTCTCCTAATTCAGTCTTGTATCTTGCCCTTGGTCACTCTAGGTCACTGTGTCTTCCCTCATCCCACCTCAGGTGTCCACTGGCCCTTTGGCTGTCTGCACCATATCCATGTTACTTTTTGGTAAATGAAGAAGGAGAGGTAGGCTGAAGTAAGCCAGGATTGCACCACTGCACTCCAGCCTGCGCAACAGAGTGAGACCTCATCCCTAAAACAACAACAACAAAAACAAAAAATCATGTTTACTTTGGGCGAAGGCCCACTGTTAACTTTCTTCTGCCTTCTGACCCCTGCATACAACATGCTCAAGGAATAGGAGATTAATTGTTATCTAATTAACCAAAATTCAACTAGTGAAATGAAATTATGCATCATTTATCATAGAGTGATGGCCTGAGTGATGACCAGGATTTTTATCTTGGAAATAAAAAGTTATTGATTGCCTGCATGGTTGCACTTTGAGATATCTCCAATTTTGAAAGCTCACCTCAGGTGCTGATAAGAACATCTGCCCATCCCCAGACATTTAATTTCCAAAACAGAACACTGGCCATGCTTCTTTCACATGCATGGGTGTGTTTACTTCAGGGCCTGAGAGAAGGCTGAAATTTCAGCTTATTATACCAAAAATATGAAAATAAGACTGATCTCTGTAGGATCGTATTAAATGAAAACAGCTTCCTAGAGGCAACTGGAGGAAGCAAACTGATTGAAAGAGAGGACAGGGCTCTGGGCAGGAAGGATGATCGAGAAAGGATGCAAAGTGGGAGGCAGCACCCAGGACTTCTGCAGAAATAGATGCAAGCTCACAAAAATCCCACCGCACAGATTAGCTGTGCGGTGATATTTTCTTCACGTTCTTCTGTCAGGTCCCCAAATCACTGTGTGACACCACAGCTGCTGAGCATACTCTTCCCTGATTCCTACTTGGCTGGTACCAGACCCAGTCACACCCATGGAAACCCTGCCAGTCAAACGTGACTGGGTAGGGGAATCACCTTTTATAGAGAGGAGTTCCCCTGCACAAACTCTCTCTCTCTTCGCCTGCTGCCATCCACGTAAGATGTGACTTGTTCCTCCTTGCCTTCCACCATGATTGTGAAGCCTCCCCAGCCACATGGAACCATAAGCCAATTAAACCTCTCTTTTGTAAATCGTCCAGTCTGTCTTTCTCAGCAGCATGAAAACAGACTAATACACTGCTATAACAAATGATCACAAATGGGCTGGCTTAAAACAACAAGTATATTTGCTCACGTGATTGATATAGGCCAGAAGTCCAAAATCAAGATGTCAGCATTTGTTTTTATTCTGGAAACTTTGAGGGACAATCTGCCTCTTCCAGTTCCAGGGGCTGCCAGTGACCCTTAGCATGCCTTGGCATGTGGCTGCATCACTCTAATCTCTGCCTCTGTCTTCACATGGTCTCTTTCATGCATCTCCGTCTTCCTGTAGCCTGCTCCCTTGTGTGTCTGTGCCTTAAATCTCTCTGTCCTTTCTCTTCTAAGACACTAGTCATTAGATTTAGGACCTACCCTAAATCTAGGGTGATCCCATCAAAAGATTCTTAACTTGATTATATCTGCAAAAACCCTATTTCCAAATACAGTCACATTCGCAGCTACTGGAGTTAGGTCTCAGACGCATCTATGGTGGGGGGTACACAATTCAACTCATTACAATAAATTTGGGAGAGACCCATAAACTTGAATTTTTCACAGGTACCCAAAATGACTGATGCAGTTGATCTGTAGGCCATACTCTGAGAAACACTGATCCAGTTGCTGGGGACTCAAAGTTGAACCAGATATGGTCCCCTTCCTTGGGGAGCCTGCCATCCAGCAGAAGATGCAGACAGATGAGCAATGATTACAACAGAAAGTGTGGCTTAGCAAGGCTCAGACAAGCAAGGAGTCAGACAGACCAGGATTCAAATCCTGCCTCTTCCACTTATCAGATGTGAGGCTCTGAGCAAGTTCCTTAGCCTGTCTGAGCCACTGTTTCCTTATCTGTAAAATAAGAAAGAATTCCTACACTATGTCATTGTGAGTACAAGGCCATGTAAAATGATTCACATGAACAATACACTCAAGAAATAGTCATTGGTTATTAAGCTGAGTGGTAAGTTAGACCCATTTTCACCCCCCTCATGGACACTGGCTATGTGCCCACCTCATGTTGGTGGAAGTTAAGGAGGTGTTACTCTGGAAAAACTCTGCTGGAATGGGCAGGAAAACTCCTGAAGGACCTACCTCAGGATTCACTGACTTATTCAACAAGCATTTATTGAGCACCTGCTGCATACAGAGTGCAGTGTATAGGCCCTTGAAATAAAGAGTCAAACAAAGCACACAGTCTAGTGAGGAAACCCATCACTACAATAATGTGGTCAGCGCAAGGTGGGGGAAAGCCCAGCGCACTGAGGGACATCCCATGCCATTTAGCACCTGAAGACATTCCATCCTTTAGTATGCTCATGCTCTTATTCTCTGTGGTATGATCTTCCTCCCAGACTATATCATGAAAGCCCCAGGAGGTCTTTGAGGGTAGGGGAGTTCTTTGTCTTATGCATCACTGAATCCCAATCCCAAGCACCTAACAATGTACTTAACTCCTAACAGGCATCTGACATGCAATTGTTGTAGTGACAGTTCTAATGTGACTTAAGGACCTCACACTGGACTTCTAAGGAGAACTACCTCCAGCCTCCCTGACTACTAAGGATCTTGATGGGCACATAAACAAAGTCCCCAGAGGATCTGTCCCTTGACATAAAGCCTGACAGTTTGAGAAGATGGAGCCAGGCTGCAATACAATGGATCATAACACCAGACAGGAGAGCTTTCAAGTACTAGACCAATGCTGATCAAACTAAACTGGGGCAGAAGCTACCCCTTGTTATTCCTCTTCAGAAACACAACGCTCTGCACATACTGGGCATGAAGCACTATTATCAGACTGACCTGGAGACCCAGAAAACGATGAAAGGAGTGAGACAGCAGAAGGTTTCCCTTCTCATACCCCACAAGGGAAGGAAAAGGGCAAACCCATACATTCCGCATTGAGTGCAAGTGAGTAAAGAAAAGGAAGCCACGGCGGGGTGCGGTGGCTCACGCCTGTAATCCCAGCGCTTTGGGAGGCCAAGTTGGGTGGATCACCTGAAGTCAGGAATTTGAGACCATCCTGGCCAACATGGTGAAACCCCATCTCTACTAAAAATACACAAATTAGCCAGGCGTGGTGGTGCGCCCCTGTAATCCCAGCTACTCGAGAGGCTGAGGCACGAGAATCGCTTGAACCTGGGAAGCGCAGCTGAGATCGTGCCATTGCACTCCAGCCTGGCTGACAGAGTGAGACGTCTAAAAAAAAAAAAAGGAAAGGAGCCTTGGGCTGGAGCTTGGTTCTCAGAAGGGTGAAATAATTCCCCGGTATGGCTAAGTAACACGGGGAACTGCCAGCACAAATGGTGGCAAACCAGGGCAGATTATCTGTGAGAGGAAGACATCAGCATTCCCTCTCACCTGGAGAGGCCAGCAGCTTCTCCTGGTCAGCAAAACTCTTAGTGGGGACTAAAGAGCAAACAGCACAGGAGCCTGAAAGTGGGCCCCCGGGGTATGTTTCTGACAAAAGAGTCGCGGGGCAGGGGACACGGTGTTCTGTGCTTCCACAAATCGAAATACTTCTGCACCTGTGTTTCACTTTTTTGGTAAATGCCGCTCCCCACCTTACACATGGTAGGCCTGCAGTAAACACGTGTTGAATGGATTGAGTGAGTGAATGAGTGGTAGGCCTGCAGTAAACACGTGTTGAATGGATTGAGTGAGTGAATGAGTGAACGGCTTCGGGGGACCCCCGAACTCCCCCAACTCGAACCACCACCGCCGCAGAGAATTCCACCTGGCCCAGGTGCCACCCCAGGGCTCAGATTCTCCCCCACGGCACCACCTTTCCGCTTCAGTATCAGGCGTCCAATCGCTTGGCTCCACAACAGTGGCGAGCGGGCAGGCAGGTGGGGCTTGGCACCTTCTCCTCCCGGATCCCAGGGCTGCAGCCTCCAATCCAGGGCTAACCCCTGCCCGGGGGGAGGGGGGGGAAGGCCCCTCCCCAAAGGCTGGCACCAGATGGCGCTGAAGAAAGTGGCGCCCGCGCAGACCCGAGTGCGGGAGGGGCGGCCACCTGGCGGGGTCGCGCAGGGGCGGCAGCCGCGGCCACTGGGGGTGCGCGCCCCCCGCTCGTCCCTCCGGCTCGGTCTCTCCGGGGACGCGGGCCCAGGGCCCATCCCGCCTGGCCGGCGCCGCGGCCTCACCTCGCTCACCAGCCCCTGCCAGTCGCTCTCGGTCCGGTCGCCGTTCATGGCCTCCTCCTCCATGCGCGGGCCGGCCTCACGGACCCCCGCCTCCTCCTCCTTCTCCTCCTCCTCCTCGCGGCGTCGCGCCGCCGCCGCCCGGGCCCCGCGCGTCCCTAAGAGGGCCCGGCGCCTCCGAGCCGCCGCGCCGCCGCCTCCCTCGGCCGCCCGCGCTGTTGACTCCACGTCAGCCTCCGCGGGAGGAAAGGGAGGAGGGGCACGGCCGCCGGGGCCGGAGACACAACCCGGGCCTCAGCCGAGCCCCGCCGGCCCGCCCCGCGCCCTCCGCGCCGCGACCCCGGGCTCCGGGACCCCCTGCCCGGCCTCTAGGCAAACGGAGACCGGGTTCTCACTCGGGACCCCTCAGCGCTCTCCGCGCAGAAGGTGGGCTCCACGGACCGGTCTGTGGCCCCCGCAAGAAGCACATCCCCAAATCCAGCCCTTCAGTGACCACCATCCCGACTCTTACCCCTAGAGTGTAAGCTCCCCGAGGGCAGGGCTTCCTTTGTTCGTTGATGGCATGATCCTGGCACCTAGGAGATGCTCTACAAATCTTTGTTGAACGCAATAATGAATGAACCGCATACTATTATATACTTAGCATTATTTTTTAAACTGTTAATGTTTGCTTATATCTATTTTTTTTTTAACGTATCAGCTATCATAAATAGAAAGCAAATGTAAACACTGAAAATAAAGCATTCAATTCTAAATAGGGCCAAAAACTCTGAGAGAGGTGGTTAGCATGGCTTGGGAGAGGTGTTAAAGACAAGCTGGCATTGGTGGTATCCCATGGCTCATGCCTGTAATCCCAGCACCTTGGGAGGCTGAGGTAGGAGGATCCCTTCAGTACAGGAGTTCAAGACCAGCCTGGGCAACAAAGCAAGACACCCCCTTTCTACAAAAAATAAAATAATTAGCAAAAAGAAAAGACATTGGCATTAAGCTGAGACTTCTCCCAAGAGGAAGGACTGAAAGAGAATGACAGAGGGAAGTTGAATCTCACCTGTAAGTCAATCTTATTCAAGGTGGTGACACCTAAAATCCCCTCATGGACCACCACCAATAATGAGCCCTCTGTACTCACAGAAAAACTATGTGTGGAGATGAGCAAGAAGGTTGAGAAGTCGTGAACCCATTGTACAGTTGTGGAAGCATCATAGACAACATTTATTTATAACTTTTACCCCTGCTGATTCTGGATCAACTCTGTGAAATAAATGTTATCCCCATTTATCAGATAAGAAAACTGAGACATGAATCATGGAGAAACAGGGACTCAACTAGGACTTCTGGCTCCAGCATCTTGGAAATCTAAGGATGAAGTATCACTTTGGAAGTTTGTTCTTGGCCTTGTTTTGCACATGATAGATTGTTTGCAAAATGGTAACAGTCATTCCCCTTCTTTGTTCATTGCCTTGCCACTGTCTCTTTCACTCTGTTCTCAGTCATGTGACTTGCTTTGGCCAAAGCAACATTTGTCCATGTGTTACCAGAATAAAAGACTTGTAAAGCACTTGTGCAGTGGGACTTACTCCTGCTTCTGCTCTTGGCAACCTGTGATCACCACCACATAAACAAGCTCAGAATAGCTTGCTGGATAGGATAGGACTCCCTACCAACAGCCAACAATCACTAGATGCATGAATGAGGCCGCTGACCCCCGCAGCTGATGACAAGCACATGAGTGAGCCCAGCTGAGGCCAACAGAAGAACCACCCAGCTGAGCCTTCCTCAATTAGCTGACTCATAGCATCACATACTAAATAAGTAGTTGTAGTTTAAGCCACTAAGTTTTAGGGCGATTTCCTAAGTATCAAAATGAATGGTGACACAACTGATGACAGGCCTGAATGGCTTGAACTCTTGCTGGCAGCCCTTCAAAAAGCAACAGTCCCTGGCATCATAATCTAAAGAAGATTCTACAACAAACTGGCTGGCCAGGATCTAAGAAAAGGAACCAGTGTACTAGTCAGCACGTTGGTTTTCTGCCTGTTGCACACAACTGCAGCACTCATCCTGGGGAAGTTCAATAAGATTGCACACCATGGTCTCTGCCCTAGGGGGCTTGCAAACTAATGCTCTAGAGAACAAAAGGAAAAAAGGGTGAAGGGGAGCCTAGAATGCAGCTAAAGCTTCTGGTCTTCTGACCATTCGAGACTGCCTAACTCTTTATCGTTTGAATCCAAGGAGGTAGAAAGAAGGTCATCCTTGAGCTGAATGTCTAGAGTTAATTAACTCAGTGCCAAGCACTTGTTCCTAAGCCTGACGTCTCATGCCTAAAAAGCAAGGTACTGTCCGCCAATATATTGCCCTTTGGCAAGCCATCTGGTTTCATCCTGACCTGTGGATGAAATAGACTGTAGGAAAAGTGGGCAGAACTTGGTCCATCTGCCTTTCGAGCCTCCTTGTCTGCACCTTGCTCTCTGCCTGCATTCAGGTGGGAAAGCCCATTCCATTTTCCACATTTAACTGAGCCCTTCATGATGTACCACTGCTCCTTTGGCGCCCTCACTGGTTTCAGGCAGCGGGACAGACAATGAGCCACTGAGAACCAAGAAATCTTCACATTCCAGACTATGTACCTTTAAGAGTACTCCCTGTGACTCCATTTCCCCTATTTGCTCCCCTTCTCTGAAATAAGTGAGACAGTTATTAAGGTATTTAAAAATAAAGCTGGGGAGGAAAATCAAAGCATGGCAAGTCTCTACCCTCCTCAGCATGTGGAGAAACTTTCAACTCAGTTGAAACGGCTTCTCTAGCTGCCTGGGTTTTCCTTAGAGGTTTCATGCCCCAAGTGCCAGCTCAAACCTGCTTTGCTTGTGAGATGTGATGAAATCACAAACCAAGGCAATGTAGCTGCAAGCAATTCTTTTTTATCTCTTTTCGTTTATGTAGCCTGACATTGAGTAATAATAATAATTAAATGCGGTTTAAGCTTTTAGGCACCTATACCAGAAGGCCTCTAGATACCTCATCAACAGCAGCCCAGACTGACAAAAAGAGAGCTAATTATTTTGTGGTTAACTTTTTTCAAAGAAAAAAATAAACCCATACACCAACTATCTTTATCCCTATAAAAGCAGTACATTAAATGTCTCATCCGACAGTCCACTGGACAAGATCGCTTAAAAACCCAGTGCCCTTGTCTTAAATGTGCCACCCTGTTGCAAAGTATTGAAATGTTTGCATTCGCCACTATTTTCACATCCCCTTAGCTTTCTGAAAACTCATCTCTAGAGACCTAATTTTTCCATATATATTCATAGCCCCAGGACCAGTTTTATTGATTTATTTATGTGCACCTATAGTGTTAGAAGAAAGTACTTAGATGCTTTTGAGTGATGCTTTTCACTTTTAAAAGTTTGAGAGGGTTTTAGACGCAGAAACTCCAAAATAGCTTAATCTAAAAACGAGCCAGCACAGACTGATGAAAACAAACAATCGAAATCTCTGGGGAGACTGGGAAAGAGAGGATGATTTGAACTTATTGTTAGCAACCTAAGCTCTCATTATGGGTTCTATACCGACTTGCATGAAGATTCTGACCAGGTCTCAGCAGCCCCAGACACGTGGGAAAGCCCTAAAGCTTTTGATGTGACTTCTCCAGACAGTATTTCAGTTCAAATGCTGGTTGCCCAAGCAAAATTCTGGCGGTTGGAGTTCTCATTAAAGGAAACTAAGCAAATCTCCAGTGGAGATTTTGGCCGGGCTTCTCTCTGAAGCCCGGCAATATCAGTTGGGGCAATATTCATGGCCATTTTTTTCCCCAGTGACTTTTCTCCTGCCTGAATTAAGAAACTCAATCTGGGCAGAAAATGATTCATAATGACTGTAGTTTATAATGGTGTGTGTGTGTGTTTGTGTGTACATACATATATTTATTAATCAGCTCTATATGAGCCAAGGTCCCCAATTCTTGCTCTTCTCAAGGCAGGGCCGTTTTGACAGTTCCTGCCAGGAGCCCCTATAGCCTGGCTGTTGAACTACTTCCTTTGCTCTTGATTTTAACCAGGGTCAGGAGACTGCAGGTACTGGTGTGTGCTGTAGCCAGGCCTCCTGCAGAGTCCTGAGACCTGAGGTCCCCTGAACCACTGGCCTCAATTCTGGAGAAGATAAGCCTCTCTCTCCTCCCGCTACATAGAGGGCCTCTGAGAGGGACCTCATCTATCATTTCCCTACAGAGGGCCAGCAGCCAGACCCCAGAGGGGCAGATGGGAGATTCTGGCCAGATTCCTGACTCAGGACATCCTCTGTGTCTATTAAACCCCTGAGCTCTCAGGTCCTCTCTCGGCCACCCCCCTACCAAGCCCTTCCTGCCCAGTGGCAAACAATCAGCACGAGCTGCTCCCCTCCAGCCCCAATGGCTGCCAATCAGCCAGGCAGCAGGGGGTGGACGGAGGTTGCACTCCCTGCTGAACTGCCTCCCTCTGAGGCGCTCACAATGATTGAGTGGGTCTGATGACGGCCTGGCAGGCTGGGGATGGCAATTGTCATCCTAAGGGGGCACAAGCTTGGGCGTGATTGGCTTGGGCATTGCGGGAGACAGGGGTTGGGAAGGAGTGGAGGCAGAAAGGCCACTCCTTGGCTGGTGGATGGGTTCCCAGAAGCAGGGCTGAGATGTCAAGAGGAAAGGAGGATGACCTGAAAGGAGCAGAGAGACAGAGGGAGAGGCCGGGCCTGGGGCACCAGAGGAGAGGCCCAAAGATCAAGAACCATGAGAGGAGAGCAGAAAACCCTGGGAGCCAGCTGGGTGGGGAGAAATCCAACCCCAGGCTGGAGGGGGAAGTGGATCGAGATGCAGCCCACGTAAGGAGTTAAATGGAAAAGAGACAAGAAAAGTCATCCACTCTCAGATTATTCAAATTTGTTGTACTTATTGATAATGTATTTCATTTCTTCTGCGTGGGGGGGATATGATTCAGCACAAATTTGATGTAAATTTATGGAAATGAAAACGCAGAGAGGCAGCAGGCCCCGTGCTGCCTGCGGGTTAGCAGCCTGGCCCTTGGCAAGGTGGAGGTTACTGCTCTCTGGACTTGGGGAGCTGAAAATAGAAACGTCTGACTTGGGGGCCACTGGCCTCTTCTGCAGGCCAGAAGAGGGACTGACCCTGTCGCTCTGGAAGCCTTATGAAAAAAAAATCTGATGAATGTCTAAAATAGGATCACCTACATTGCC